GAGGACTGGCTGGGGCGTGCCGTCCGTGGCCGGAACAGTGGCGTGCACCACCGTTGGACGTTTCCTAGGGCCCCGTCACCGGGGCTGGCCAGAACCCGGGGGCAGAGGCCAGGCTGCCTCGGAAGTGAGTGGTACAAGCCGGTGACTCCCGCAGGGGTCGGGACCGAGGGCCTGAGCGCGCTCCGGCCTCGCCCACGGCCGCGGGAGCTCGGCGAGTTCCCTGAAGCAGCCCCACTGCCTGCCACACGCCCTCACTCGGCTCCTCACGCCGCGGGATGCCCGGGGCACGACCGGCCACGCCAGCCCGCGACCCGCGTTGGCGCACGCTCGGTGTGAAACTCGCCGTCCACGCGGCCGCGCCAGGCCCCTCACGCTCAGGGCCCAGGGCCTCGCTGTCCGGCCCTGGGCGCCAGCTCCGTCACGGGGCGGTCCTGGCCACCGCACTGGGCAGCAGAGCCCTCTTTCCTGGCCACCTGTCTGTGGGCCCCAAACCCCCAGAAAGCGCTTACGCTGTTATCTCAGGCTCCTCCCGGCCATCTGTGTCCTGAGAAGCCGAGGCTGGGAGTGTCTCCTGGGAAACGGCCTCTGGGCTCTCTCGTCTGGGGTGCGTCTGGGGTGGAGCGCCGCTGCGGCTGCGGCTGCAACCGCCCGATATCACGGGGCCGCTATGGGGTCCCAGGGGTGGGGTCGTAGGAAGGTCAGACCCCACCCCACCCCACCCCACACAGAATCTGCATCTCGCTTACGGCTTAGCCTTTGGGCAGGATCCTCTCAGGCTTAAGACAGCAAAACAACAAGAGCAAGAAAGAACCGAGAGAACGTGACACGTGACTGGCACCCATCCCATTTCAAAAGCTTCACGAATCGGCCCATTTCTGGAGAAGCCGGCATTGCTGAAGTCGGCGCTCGCGTTTCCGTGTACCACGGGCACCGAGGCGATGGTCCACCCTACAGCGCAGTCCAGAGGAGCTGCGAAGGCCCCTGGTCCCCTGGCCCAACCCCAGCTGGAGACCCAAGGCCGCGCGCACACGTGTCGGTCAGACGGTCGGGGTCTAGGACTCTGGGGCGTCCACGCGTTGTATTTCCAAAACCTGTTGATAAAGTCTTAACAGGGGCTGCAGTTAGATTTCGGGGGGCGGGGGCAGGGGGCGGTTAGGGTTGCGACGGTCGATGAGAGTTAAGGTAAAAGTTTGGATGAAAATTGGAATGTTCGAGCAGATTCTATGCGACGTGGTTGGCTCTCCTGTACCTTTATTACGAAAATAAATCTCGTGCCTGAGTTAGGAATGCTTCCCCTAGCTAGTTAGTGCCGTCAAACAAGAGACACATAAATGCACCTGCGGTCGATACTGAGGGAACGTCCCAATCAGAAGCGTGAGACTGCCTGATCCACACAGGCCACCAGCCTGGGACAGTGTGGCACGTCCGACGGACACAGAGACGCCGGCTTTAGGCAGCGCACTATGAGGACCTAGCTGGAAGTGCTGGCATCAACAGTCTCTGTACCGCAGCCCGGCGTGGAGGGGGCTCATGGCCAAAGCCAGTGGGCGACATCTGTCATCGACAGCTGGGCTTTGGGACCAGCCGTTTGCAACCCTTTGAGAGACAACGAGCTTGCTGTTGGGTGCTGAGGCTGCTCTTACGACAGGAGGGTGGAAAACAGTCCCGAAACACCGCGCACTGCTTGAGCGACGGCGGAGGAACGTCCCGTGCCACGGCGAGCAGGACCCGGCTTCTGCAGGACCGTGCGGCCGGGGGAAGCAGGGAGCGCGCGTGGCAGGCGTGCTCGCTTGCCCACGAGCCCACTGCGGGGACACCCGAGGAGCCACTAAACCCTACGGCCACTTGGGCCTCCCGGGAAGTGCCCCACAAACAGCTCTCTGTGGACCAACGAAGATTTGCCTGCTTTACAGGTGGCAGCTACAAGGTAAACAGGTGACAGCTGCTCGGAAAGGCCACTGTTTGAAAAAGGTAAAGATAAAATGGCTCACGTGCCGTTTACAGCATGCCGTTTGCCCCGCGTTTGAGTCTTTATGGACTCGTGGGCAGCGGCCAGGGGCCTGGCCACGGGGTCAGCGAAGTGCAATGGGAAGCTGTTCTAGCGTAAGCTCTGCACAGAACGTGGCCCCGCGGAAGTGACCGTGGGAACGGAAGGGGTGTGTTGAGGGATAGCACGTTTATGTGCGTCAGAAGGACCCCCTTCCGGGACTGAAAGGTGGCTGGAGCTGGCGGGTGTGTATCTTGGGGCGCCCGCTTGGGGTGGTGACCAGGGAACGAGTGGATGGGGGGTACGCCGGCAGCACAGAGATGAGCTGCGTCCGGGCGGTTCTCGTGCACGTCCGAGGCACGAGGTTCCCGCAGGAACCGTCCACAGACGAGAGGCCGCGTCCCCGGGGAGTGCGCCCTCACTTTTCGGGTTCTCGCTCCTGAGACGTGGTGTCATGCTGTGCGTCCGCCTGCCAGGCTGCCATAAAACGACACCACAGCACGGGGCACTTAAATAACAGGAATAGGTTTCTCTCCGCAGCGGAGGCTGCAGGTCCAAAACCAGCACTGGCGGGGGCGGCGCCCAAGGCCTCGGCTCCGGCGCTCAGGCGGCCGTCCTGCTCTGCGCTCACGTGGTCCTTCCTCGGCGTGTGCACACGCCGCTTGTGTCGGCAGCTTCTGATGAGGACGTCACGCATGTTGGATTCGGGGCCCCTTCTTCTGGCCTCACTGGACCTCGATCGCCTCCCTCAAGGCTCTCCCTCCAAACGCAGTCTCGTTGGGAGGGCTTCGGCACATGGGTTTCGTGGGGGTGCAGTTCAGTCATGACAGCTGACGGCCCCGTACACTGGCAGCTGGAGTCGAAGGCCCCTCGGGACGGAATACAGATGGAATGTGCCTGTCTCCACGAAAAACCGGATTTCCCTAACCATCAGCTGATTTCTGCGCTAAAGAGCCCTGCGCACACTCATCACAAGACACAGCTCCCGGTAGGTCGAGGGCGAAGCGAGTAACTACGCTGGTCCAGCCTCACGGCCACCCCCGCTCGGTTTCAGCGACTGGCCAAGCCGGTTGGTTCAACTCGCTCACACCTCCGCGCCGCGCTCACCGGGTCTGCCGGACCCGGCCTCGCGGACAGAGCCGTCGTAAAGGCACAATGCCCAGCCTCAACCCGTCTGTGAGGCCGCCCAGCAAGCAGTCGTGTGCTTCGTAGCCACCTGAAGATCGTTCAGATTAACCATAGCAGACACTTACCGAGCGCTCGCTACGTGCTCTGTGCCGTTCCAAACATTCCACATGCTTTTAACTCATTTCGTCCTCGTAAACGCTCTGTGAGAGAAGAATCGTCATCCCAACTTTACCGGTTATTAAAAAGAGGCCGAGAAAGACTAAATCACGTCCCCAAGTCCACACAGCTGGGAGGCATCAGAACCAGATTCAAATCCAGGTTGCGGAGCGCCGGAGCCCGTTCTCACCACGGGGCCGGCTCTGCCTCGCCTTCTCCAAACCCCCTTGCTAGCCTGTCGCTCTATCTAGGCAGGTGACAGAGCCTCCTGTTTCTCAGGGAAGAACACAGAAGTCAGCAAGCAATGCCCTCGACCCCGCGTCACTCAGAACCGACCCGCATTTTTTTACGTCCGTCCTGAGACACCTGCGTGGCCTTTTCTGCTGGTCCCAGGCTGCTGGCCCCAGGCTCTCCGGGCGGCCGGGCGGGCACCAGCGCTGCTGGGTGGGCCGAGGTCACAGGCGGCCACCAGAGAAACGCGCAGAGGGAGGAGGATGTGGGTGGTGGGCTCTGTCGTGGTCCTTGAGTTTCGCCTCCTGCGGGGGCCCCACCCAGCCAGCTGCAGGGGCGCTGACGTGTGGGTCTCTGGGGTGCGGAGGAGCCCCTGTTGGGCAGCGATGTCCCGTGATGGTAGGAGACGAGGGGTGCTGGCTCCTGGCGAGTGGGGGCGCGGCGCGGGCGGCCAGGCGTGCGGGGGCCAGAACGTCAGCTCTAAACCCGCCGCTGCCCATCTGACCGAAGAACAGGCCCATGGTTTCTAACCTCGGGCCCCAGCACGACCCGCAGTCACCAGGGGACGCCTGAGCCGCACAGACACATTCAGACTTGGTGAGCTATTCCCTCGAGGGGAGGCGCAGGGCCAGAGAGGACAGTGAAGGCCCCGGACATTAAAAGAGCAGTTCTGCCCCCGGCCTCGGGAGGGTGAGGAGTGCGCCATGAGCCGGGACAGAGCGGCCCAGGGCCGCAGGCGAATGTTGCAATTTCTCTTCCTTCCCTCCTGTGGCATCTGCAATGACACACCGAAACTTTTCTCAGACGATGCGATGAGATGGACAAAAGGTTATTCGCCAGAATTCCAGACACGCTCAGAAAGGCACGCAGCAGCAGAGGAGGGACGAGCGATGGGCGCGGAGAGGCTGGGCTCCCCTGGGGGACACTTCCGGTCAGAGGCTGGACTCCCCCCACCGAGGGATTTAGCGATGGGAAGGGCTCGGGGAGGAGCCTGGGAAGGGGGGGCCAAAATCGCCGGAGGCCCGAGATGGCATCTGCTCATCACAGACCGCACAGGCCGCCTCCGGCCCAGTGGGGTGGCGCGGACGTCAGGTGACCTGAGAGACGCCGTTGTCAGGCGAGCGCGTGATTCATCAGGCCTGGTGAGTCTATAACACGTGGCTCAAGCGGGACCCTGACCTCTGACCTTCCGGCTGCAGCCACCCCCCCCCCACTTCCCCGGCCCCAGACAGAGCCCCTCGTTCTCAGCCGGGAGGGGAGCCCAGCCGGCAGCTGCCCAGGACGCGGACCGAGGCGGCCCCTCCGCCCCGCGCTCCCCGCAGCGCGCTGCAGCTGACCCCCCTGGCCTCATCTAGCTGCATTTTGCTCCCTCGAGAAGAAACTTTGCTTTCTCCCTCAGACGCCGTCCCAGAACCCGCCTGTCCGGGCTCGATCGACGTCCCCCCCGTCGCTGGTTCTGAACAGTCGCCCTGACCCAGGCGTCATCCTGGCAGCCGCGATGGGGGATGAGCGGGCACCCATGGGAGACGCGGGAAGAGCCTTTTCCCTGGACAACGCCTATCTGCGAAGCCAGTGAGGTAACTTACGAAAAGAGGCACAAGTTCACTAAGCATCAGGGACACGAAACGAGATACCGTTTGTCATATATCAAATTGACAATCGAGATAATGACAAGCCCCAGCCGGGCCGTGGAAACGCGGGCGTCTCTGGCGCCATCAGCCCTTCTGGGGGACGGTGCGACACTATGTCAGTGTTGAGATAATGACGAGCCCCAGCCGGGCCGTGGAAATGCGGGCGTCTCCGGCCCTTCTGGGGGACGGTGCGACACTATGTCAGTGTCCTGCCTGCGCAGTGGACTTTGGTCTTGAGATTCCACATCCAGGCGTCTGTGGCGACAGGAGGGCAGCTATGCACACGCCCAGAGAAACACGTCAAAGGCTGTCACGGCTGAGGCTGCTGGTCGCCATTCTCTGTCCTCCGCCTGTGGGCTGGGTGCTGACACCCCCCAGACTGCCCCGGGGCGGGAGAGCAGTGCCTGGTGAGCAGACGGCCTGGGGGTCGGGGGGACCCGGGACAAAACCTCTCGCCCTCCCCGCCTTCTTTCTGCTGTCTGGAACTTGCCCACGAGGGCCAATGATCCAACAGCCACTTTGTGACCTTGAGGATGGAAGCCACACACCAAGGATCAGAGAAACACAAAGAGCCCAGGACCCCGATGTGACACAGAGCCCCACTCCTGCCCTGCCGTTCCCACCTGCAAGTGTCCTTCTGGACACGAGGGGAAAACCAGGTCATGATCTGTGTAGGTCACCATGATTAGATCTCTCTTGTTAGCCACAAAATAGGATTTCACTGTCACAGTCCCTTAAAACAGAGAAATACTGTGTCCCTCGCTTCTACTTCCCTTAAACGTCTGACATCCCAGTCCAGGCTCAGTGCGTGAGAACCCTCACAGGAAACCTCTGTTCTTCTTAGACTTGAGGTCAACCGCCCTTGAGTGCATTCCTCGGAAGCTGCTGGAAAACCAAACCTGTGACGCAAGCATTTGTAAACTTCTGGGGGAAAAGACGTGAACAGGGTTTAACAATTATAAACTCTACAAGACCCCAAGTGATATATTTTAACAACTGAGAAGTGGTAGAGAGCGCAAAACAATCTGTTCAATTTTTACGAATATGGGAAATGAAATAGGCAGCATTTCCCCGCGTCTCTGGGTTTACGCCCAAAGGAACCGAAATCACTGTCTTAACATCTTCACCCCCACGTTCGTGGCCGCGGTACATACACCGGCAAGCGGTGGAAGCAACGTAAGTGCCCGCAGACAACTGACTGGGTCAAGAAAAAGTGCGATATGTATTTTTACTCGTACGTGAACATAGACTTGTGTGTCCATGCGCATATACACATGCGCACATATATACACTGCGATGTGTGTCTGTATCGCACATGTCCTCGTCACACGCACGGAGCACGGAGCACGGAGGCGGCGAGGGGATGGAGGCGGCCGCCCCCTTCGCCGTGGTCACCATTTGACAGCGTATCCGCTCCCTGACTCATCAAGTCGCACACCTTGCACCTGAGTGTGGTGTGTGGCGCGTGTGTGGATGTGGCGCTAATGTGTCGGCGAGGCCGGGGGAGGAGGTCGTTTACTGCGGTCGGGTCGGCGTCAGTCACCAGGCGTGACAGTTGGGCTCGTGTTGTCGCACCTCACAACGCTCTCGCTCCTCCGACCTGCACTATTCTCACTGCCGGGAAAGAGCCCTTGTTTCTCGGGCGGCC